TCCCTCAACCATGTAAGAGAATCAGAAGGCCATGCAGCAGAGCCTGTTACTGTGATTTCAGCACGCTCTTTGGGTCTCTTCAGCCTGTGAGCCCCTTGGCTAAGGTGGGGTGGGGTGAGTGCAGAAGTGGGGTAGTTTTGGGATAATAAGCATCCCTTGGTCTTACAACACCACAGGCAAAAAAACACAGACGCTGACTAGATCGTTGATGCAGAATCACTTACTGTGTAGCTCCAATTTCTTTAGTTTCTGTATGTGCCAAAACAAGATGGGTTTTTCATCATCTCATTTCTCACCTCTGCTGCAGCTATACTGTTCTACCATGTCATTTTGCAAACACACGCACCTTCTTGACTCTGGACCTTAATGCATACACTTCTGCCTGGGATCCCTGTCCCTAGCTCTGTGCCTAGCCAGTTCCTACTCATCCTTCGGGTCCAACTCAAACATCACCTCCTCTAAGAAGCTTTCCCAGTTATATTTCTTTTCTCTGTGTCCCACAAAATTGCATATATATCCCTTATCAAATTGACATAGTGAAAATATTTATTTACACGTGTATGTTTCTCACTACACTCTGAATTCTTTGAGGACATGGACTTTGATATTCAACTTTTAAAAAACATTCCATTACTAGCACATTCTTTGGCATATAAAATATATTCAATAAATGTTTACAGAATGAAGAAATGAATGAAAAATATCTCACAGCAAAATTAAAAGGGAACTGACCAACAGAGAAAAATATTTTCTACAAATACAAGAATGATTACTATCCATAATATATAAAGATATTCTCCAAATTAATATGAAAAACATGAACATGGCAATAGAAAAACAGGCAAAGGGCAAACATTGACAAGAAATATAAACAGCTAATAAAACTTATGGAAACATTTCAATTTCATTCATTAAGAAAGGGCTGGGCCGGGCGAGGTGGCTCACGCCTGTAATCCTAGCACTCTGGGAGGCCGAGGCAGGCGGATTGCTCAAGGTCAGGAGTTCGAAACCAGCCTGAGCAAGACGAGACCTGTCTCTACTATAATAGAAAGAATTATAATGGCCAACTAAATATATAGAAAAAATTAGCCGGGCATGGTGGCGCATGCCTGTAGTCCCAGCTACTCGGGAGGCTGAGCCAGGAGGATTGCTTGAGCCCGGGAGATTGAGGTTGCTGTGAGCTAGGCTGACGCATGGCACTCACTCTAGCCTGGGCAACAAAGTGAGACTCTGTCAAAAAAAAAAAAAAAAAAAAAAGAAAGGGCTGAAAATTAGTACTTTTTTCTCTATCAACTTGTCAAAGATAAAAAGATATAAACAAAGATAAAAAAGTAAAGATTTTTTTAAAAAACATGATCACAATTATTGAGGATCTGGTGAGAAAGGCACTCTGGTGAATATAAAATATGATCGTTCTGGAAAACACTTGGATATATGTATATATGTACCAAAAGTCTTAAAAGTGTTCATATGCTTTGTCCTAATAATCCCAGTTCTATACTCTATTATAAAGAAATAACTAGAAATATAGTAAAAATCTATGTATGACATTCAAAGACATATTTGTAACATCAAAAATGGAAAATAACGTAAATTTCCCAAAATAAAAGAAATTATAATAAAAAATTAATCTTATATGATAGATTATCATACAGCCATTAAAAACATATTTTAAAATAATATTTCATAGGATATATAAGAACTTATTTCCCATATAACATTATGAGAAAGACTACGATGCAAGACTGTATCAGTTTTATGTTTCTAGTTTTATAAAATATGGACAAGTAGATAGATAGGTCTACAGAAAAAATACTAGAAGGATAGATACTAACATTAACTTTAGTTATATTGAGTGGACAGATAATGGATGATTTTTATTTTCATTTGTGTAATTGTCTTATTTTCATAATAAGCTTTTATACTAGGACAAAAATGAGCTTTTATATACTAAGACTACAAATTAAAAAGAACTACAATGATATATTGCTATACACCTACTAAAATAGCTAAAATAAAATATAATAACACCAAATGCTGGTAAAGACACAGAGAGACTGAATTGCTCATACATTACTGATGAGAATGTAAAATGGTACACCCATTCAGAAGAGAGTATGGTAGTTCTTATGAAACATGCGCTGATCCATGGACCCAGCCACTTAACTTTTTGGTATTTATCTCAGAGAAATAATAACTTATGTTTACATAAAAACTACACATGAATATTCAACTTTATTCATAATAGCCAAAACTTGGAAACAACCCAGAGATATTTTTCAGTGAGTAAATGGCTAACTGGTTAACTGTGATATATTCATCCCATGGAATACTACTCAGCAATGAAAAGGAACAAACTACTAATATGTGCCATAACTTGGATAGATCTTAGGAAATTATGCTGACTGAAAAAAAGTTCATTTTCAAAGGATTATGTACTACATGATTCCATTTATATGATATTCTTTAAAAGACAAAAACACAGAGATGGGGAACAGGTGAATGGGTTAGGGAGAGGAGGAAGGAAGGAGGTGGCTGTGCCTATAAATGGATAGCAGAAGGGATCTTTGCAAAGGAACTGTTCTGTGTCTTGCCTGTGGTGGTGATCACAAAAATGTGCACATATGATAAAAATATTTATAACTAAGTACACACACTTAAATGTGTGTGTGTAGAACTACTGAAATCTGAGTAAGGTTGGTAGATTGCAACAGTGTCAGTTCCCTGGTTGTGATATTGTACTATAGTTGTGCAAGATATTAATGTTGAAAGAAACTGGGTGAATGGTATTGGGATCTGTCTGCATTATATTTTACAACTGCATGTGAATATACAATTATCTCAAAATAAAGATTTAAAAAATAAAATGAAACAGATTAAGAGATATGTCAACCAACTGCAGTATGTGCTTCTTATTTGGATCCTGATTCAATCTATAAAAACATGGGACACTGGTGAAACTACAAATGTGAACATTGCTCAATAGTTGATGCCATTAAGGAATTGGAGGGTTTTTTTTAATATGCAATGATGGCATTGTGATTGTTTTTTTTTTTAAACGAGTCTTTATCTTTTAGAGATTCAAACCAGAATAATTAGAGATGAAGTCATATGATATCTGTATGTGCTTCCAAACAATGTGAGGGGGGAAAGGGATAGGGTATGGGTTGCTTAGGCTTAGTCACGGGTGGATGTATAAACTGGCATAAATTATAATAGTGTATTTTTTTTTTTTGAGACAGAGTCTCGCTTTCTTGCCCAGGTTAGAGTGAGTGCCGTGGCGTCAGCCTAGCTCACAGCAACCTCAAACTCCTGGGCTCAAGCGATCCTCCTGCCTCAGCCTCCCGAGTAGCTGGGACTACAGGCACAAGCCACCATGCCCGGCTGATTTTTATATTATATATATTAGTTGGCCAATTAATTTCTTTCTATTTTTATGGTAGAGATGGGGTCTCGCTCAGGCTAGGCTGGTTTTGAACTCCTGACCTTGAGCAATCCGCCTGCCTCGGCCTCCCAGAGTGCTAGGATTACAGGCGTGAGCCACCGCGCCCGGCCTATAATAGTGTATTTTTATGTATTTTTAAAATCTCCATAATTAAAAGGTTTTTTTAAAAAATTAACAGAAATTAAAAAGAAGGCTAAATCTCTAAGGAAACCCTGCAAAGTTACTTATCTGTTTGACAATAAAGCATGTGGATTCTATCTGAGCACCTGTATACCAGGCACTGTGCTAGGCTTTAAAGATATGGTCATATAGAGGCTGTGCCTTCCCAGAGATGGCAGTTTAGTGGAAACAGAGATATTGTAAAAATCAAATAAGCACAGTCCAAGATGGCAAGTGCTAATAAGGATCGTATAATAGTGAATGAGCTGACTGTTCTCTGCACCAATGAAATGGTGTCTGGGCCAGGGCTTCGAAGACATGCTGCAGTCTAAGTGTTACAGCGAGGAGGAGAATTCTTTAAACCTGAACTTGATTCCTAAACAGGACTGACTTAGCATCACCTGTTTTCTTAACACTGCTTTCCATTTAAGATCCCATTCCAGTCCAAAGTGCATTGCATTCTTATCGTCAACTGACTCTGCTGTCTCCTTGAGGGAACCGCCAAAACAAGGCTAACGATGTTTAGCGAAGTCTTCCAGTTCTTGTAACAGGATGATTGGAGCTCAGATTCAACCTCTCTCTTCACCAACCACCACCGCCAAGGTCCTTGGGCCTTTCAGCTCTGGCTCCATTATTCAGATATTGGGTCAGAGGAAAACTGTTAAATGAGCCTTTTAGAGGGAAGGAAACTTGATTGTACGTCTTAGATGAAAAAAACAGGACCTAATTGCATTCGATGAAGGTGGTAATTCATTTTACCTTAATAAATTGGAAACTCAAATGAGAATAAGTTGTTCCATTCACATACACACACACACACAATCTATATATTAAAAATGGCATTATGGCTACTGCCTAATCAGCTGTAATAATGTAAAGGATGCCACACTGCTAACAGTATTAAGGTCATAAATTACATTTCATAGAGTGTGGTTTCTCCACAAAGCCACTTGGCAAGGCACGCTGTGATTAATGTCACACTAGGGAAGCATGACGGAGGTAAGACAGAGGAGGAGTGGCAGCAAATGGGACACAGGGACAATGGTGACAGCCGCCTCTGCAGCACTTGGCCTGAGGGGAAAGGACCCTCAGACTTCAGGAGTGGTGGACGACACCTGCTTTGCTTATTATTATTTTTTTTTAATAAAACCACCCAGCAATTCAGAAAAGCGTTAACCTCTGTTCTGGTTCTTGCTGTTTACATACATTATTTATCAGTGCTGTGTTCCATTATCACTAAATAGAGAATCAATAGATTAAAACGTAAGAGACCTGCAGAAATAACAATCACCAAATAAAGCTAAATCTTTTATTAGGACTTACCATGACGCCTGGCCACTGGAGCAAAGCATTTGTTTCTGGCTTCACCATTTGTCACTATTGATTGTGCCTGTGAGAGAGGAAGAGCTCCACTGCCTTGACAAAGAATGATTTATCCTCCCTCGAAATACAATTTGCAACCTTCAGTCTCATTTGAATCCTTACCTCTGGAGTCTTTATTATGGTAGGAGGAACCATAAAGGAATTAGGTTTTTGTTTGAAAGTCCGCCTATAATTACTTTTAGTATCAAATGGCTCCAAAAGCCAGAACATAATGATTTTAAGGGACACAAAGCTTGGCCATAGATAATAGGTTTGAATGCAGTACACAACGGGCCGTGCCTGGAAGCAGAGACAGGAGGGTATATGATGGTAAGAATAGGAGAAAGATTTGGCACTGACATTAGTGGACTAGTGTAATAAAACGAGAGAGAGAGAGAGAGAGAGAGAGAGAGAGAAATGTCCTCATCTGAGTCTATCCTTGAGCTTCGTAGGTTTCCATGAAGTTGCTCGTTTATTACCTCCAGATGGTTTAATAGCCAGTTAGGAAGGACCATTCTTTGGGAAATGGTTTAATGATCCAACTTGCCTTTTATTTTGATAACAAGGAAAAAGGACTCATTCTCAGCAGTTCATAATTGGTGAAATTAAAAAGACTTTTCCAATATAATTCCACAGACACCTGTTCAGCTTCTGGCAAACAGCACCACTAGGCACTAGGGGTACACGTTTGTTGGTCGGGTATCTGTTGAGTGCTCACCCTTTGTCAGGTAGCAGGTGAGGTTCTGAGTGAGGCAATCCCTTCCCTCATAGAGCTTAAAGCCTGTAAGGGAGACAGCTATTAAACAAATCATCACGCAATTTAGTAACGCATTGAAATTGTGGAAATTGATGGAGCTGTGTAGGTGCTATGAGAAAGTATGGTCTGGGCACTTGAGGAAGGCGTCCCTGGGGACGTGATGTTTAAGGTGAGAACCAAAGGGTAATAAGCGTTAGCTAAGTGAAGAAGGGGGTGCACTGGGAGGTTGGAGGTAGCTGTGCTCTCTCTCCCCAGATGCCCCCACTAGAGATAGAAGCCACAGACATGAATGGGAAGCTCTGATCCCGTGTAGACTAAGTGCTATGACGGATGTGCAATGTGCTGTGGCACCACGGTTGGATGCCAGCAGGCTGAGCGTTCCTGAGCCTGACCCTGAAGCCCTGGCTATGGTGTTGGGGAAAGCAAAAATGAGCAAGGCCATGCCTTGAAACGAGAGCGAGAGAGAGAATTATTCTTCTTGGCTTGTCTGCTGAATGGCTGTGGGTTTCAATAAACAGAAAATAATATGATTGTCCTTGTTATTATTTCCTTTCTTGGACAAGGACTTTAGTTTTTAATCTCTCTTTTGAAAGATGAAAATGAGGACTTGAGAAAGATGTGACACATTCTAGAACTGAACATTTAAAAATTCTTCTTTAGCTCAAGTGCAGCAAAAAGTGCCTCGGTGAACGTTATGGAGAAAGCATAATGGCTTTATGAGGCGATGCAATGTATAACTGAAAGTAGGCCAAATGCCTGCATTGATTCTCTGAACTTTTCATCTTTTCAAGCACTCATTCAGCAACTATTCACTGAGCATCTGGTACATGCCTGGCATACAGCAACGAGGGAGGCAGACAAGGTCCTCGTCCTCATGGAGCTTGCATTCTAATAGGACAGAGAGATACTGCACAGATGTCATTTTAGGTAGTTATAAGAGCCATAGGAAAATAAAGTGCATTCACGTAATGGAAAAAGGTGGGAATGAGGATAGAGACTCTGTGAGGATATAGTGGTCAAGATAGTCCCCTGTGCACGACCAGCTTCGTGAGTGTGTGACCAGTGCAGTTGCACCAGCCACCACACTCAGAAGGTGGCCCTGTGCTTGGGGCTTCATGCTCTGCAGCCACCATGTTAACATTGTTTGAGTTTGTGATTTACAATGAAGTCCAATGGGCCAAAGGAGCATGTGTCAGGAGCCTGGAGCCTCAGCTCATACACGGCCTCACCTCCCTTGGGTTCTTGGCTTCACGCTCCCCCACCCCTTAAGCAACTGCTGCTGCCCTCAGCCCCAGTGGGGGTCTGGGCACAGGCACAGGGAGAGTCAGGGTGGGGTGCACACACCCTGTGGGCCGAGTCCCAGAGTGGAAGCATCTATGAATCTCTGTGCCCAACGGAGCATGAGATTAAATGACAAATAACATACCATGATGAACCAAGAGTGACTACAGAAAAAAGGAAAAGGCCCTTTCTTCTGCTTTTTGAACAGGGGTCTTGCCCTGCATTTCACTGTGCACTAGGCCCTGCAAATTCTGCAGCCAGCCTGGCCCTTCTAAGGGGGGACATCTGAGCAGAGACCTGAATGGAGGGAAGATGTGGGTGTCGGCGGCACACCGAGCAGAGGAAACATGGAAGTGCGGAGTCCCTTGGGCTGGAACACGCTTGGCGAGTCGGAGGAGCAGCAGGAAGGCTGGTGCAGTGGGAGCGTTGCCAGCAAGTGGGAAGGTGGCAGGAGAGGAGGCCGGAGCTGGAGCCCCCAGCCATAGCCAGCTGGTCACCATGAGGAAGGAGGCTTGCTCCAGTCTAGAAGGAAGCCATGGGAGGGTTTTAGGCAGGAAAATTAGACCACCTGATTTATATTTTTAAAGGCTGTCTTTCCTGAGATGGTGAGACTTATTTTTAGTTTACTAATGCAGTCACTCATTCATATTCCATCTCGCCATCATAGAGGTTGGGGGGAACCAAATGAAGGCAGTGATGGGCATGAATTCTGGTACTGCAAGAAGGGAAGAAGCAAGAACCACATGGGCCCAAGTGGAGGAGTGATCCCTCGTCCACGGAGGGCTGGGTGGAACTGTGTGTTGGGGGGAAGCAGAAAGGTTGAGTCGAGGGGGGAAGAGTCCAAGGCCTTCACTGTCATCAGTGAAGTGAGAAGCAAAGTCAGGTGCTAAGAATGAGGGGTGACAGGGCAGGGGATCAGAGGAGAGAAGAGAAGGCTAGGAACATCTTTTGAGAGGAACAAGAGGTAACTGCCTTGGGAAGAGGACAGAGAAGGATCCTGACAGCACAGATGGCCCGGCTCTGGTGGGAAACCCTTCTCCTTTCTGAAAGGAACTTCCTCACTTAAGTTGTGGACCCTTTTCCTTAGTATTCCCTGAAGGATCTCCCACACTGAACTCTACCCTTCTTCCTGCTCTCCTTAAAAATGCACAGATCACCGGGCAAGCTGGCTCACACCTGTAATTCTAGCATTTTGGAAGGCCAAGGTGGGAGGGTCATTTGAGGCCAGGAGTTCAAGACCAGCCTGGACAATAGTGAGACCCCCATCTCAACAAAAAAAATTTTAAATTGGCTGGGCATGGTGGCACACACCTGTAGTCCCAACTAATCACGAGGCTGAGGCAGGCAGATCACTTGAGCCCATGAGTTTGAGGTTGCAATGAGCTATGGTGACACCACTGCACTGTAGCCCAGAAAACAGAGGTAGACCCTGTCCCTCCCCCCACAAAATGCACAGATCTCCAGTTCTAAACCACAAAATTCTGTGCAATGCAGCTGTTCCAGCCATTTTCCTATGTCTCTTCTTCTGCTATATCTACCTTTAAATGAATGGCGCTTTCTTCATCTGCGTGTCCATATTCCCACCACTCATTCCCTCCCTAATCTCTTGCCATATGATTTTTATTCCATCGTATTATTGGAATTTTCCTTAAAGCTCATCCGTGATTTCGTCCCTATCCTTGTTAGGATCTCTGTGTGAGTACGCACTTAACCTGCGAAAGCTTCTTCCTTATTGTGCCTTCACCTTTCATTCGAACCTCTTGTTCCGAATTTGCTGGACACTGAGCCCCCATGAGTCTCTTCCTACCTCTCTGATCGACATGCTTTTTATCTTCTCTGAGCTCTTTCTTTCTCTCTCACCGTGGGTACTGACTGTGACTCAGCTTCTACTTGATGCCAGTCCTGGCCCTTGGGGAGTTCATCTACTTTTCCTGCCATCAACTATTCCCGAATTAATGTGGTCTTCCTGCTTAATGATCAACTATCAGTTTATGATTCCCAAGTCACATCGTTAGCTCAAACTTCTCTCCCCAGACTCTGTTGTCATATTTGCAACCTAAAAACGTCATGTCAAAAAACGGGCTCAACATTTTTCCTGCAAAGATCACTTCTCAGATTCTACACTTCTGTCAGTATTACCAATCTTGAGTCCACTGTACTTCTAACTGTGGAGCTTATTTTTATTGTCCTCTGTTCTCATCCTCCACGTACAATGTCTCATCACTCTTTTTCTCCAAGCACATCTCAGACATAGCTCTTTCTTCATTCCTCTTGACTCACCCACCCAAGACACAGACATGGAAGGGACCTCAGAGATTGAGCCTCACCCTCTTCCAGTGACTGGAATTCTCTCTCTAATGACCCTGGTCAAAATCATTCAATCACTTTTTCATTCAACAAATATTTACTGAATACCTACTAAATACACTGGGAATACAGTGCTGGACAAAGAAGACAAAGTCCTTGCTCTGAAAAAGTGTATAGTATACTCAGAGAGATAAAAAATAACAACAAACAAGTAAATAAATGAAGTCATTTCAGAGAGTGACAGGCACAACAGTGGCAATGTAGTAGAAAGTGAAGGTGGAGGAGGTTGGATGGAATTCTCCATCAAACTGAATTGTCAGAAAAGTCCTTTCTGAGAAAGTGACATTTCAGTTCAGACCCAGATGAACAGAAGGAGACAATCATGCTAAGCTCCAAGGGCAACCCAAGCAGGGGACATCTGGTGTGAAGGTCCTTATGTGGGAATGAACCTGGCATTGTTTGGGAAATTGAAAAAGGCTGGTGTGACATGAGTGCAGTAAGCTAAGGGGAGAACAGTAAAAGATGAGTTTGGAGAGGCAGCTGCAGCCAGACCAGATGGGGCTTTTTAGGCTAGGCTGAGGGATTAGAAGTTTAGTCTAAGTTCAAGGAGAAGCCATAGGAGGGATATTAAGCAAGGCGGTGAAATGATTTGCTTTGCATTTTTGCAAAACCCTAGCTGCTTAATGTGTGGAGATTGGATTATGCAGCTAACAAGAAGACACAGAGAGAAGAGTTAGGGGTCCAGCTGAGAGGTGAGAGTGGCCTGGGCTGGTTGAGGGTAGAATAAATGGAGACAAGTGGAAAAGTGTATGTTAAAATATTGTGAAGGTAGAAATGATAGGGTTTGCTGATGGATTGCATATGGGGATAAAGGAAAAGGAGGAATCCAGAATGATCTCCTAGGTTTTGGCTAAAGCAATGTTTGAAAGTGATGTCATTTCATGAGGTGGGAAGTCTGGGGCGGGAGAGGTTGGGGGGTGTACAGAATCGAATCTCTGCTTGCATACTCCTAATGATGGGATACTCACTACAAGGACAGGCTCTCATACCATTATATTAGAAAAGTCCTACATTGAGTTCAAATCTGTGCCTCTCCAAATTTACCCACTGGTTTTAATTCCTCCTTTTCAACAAAATAAATTATTTTTCCTCTTTCCTACTTGACTGTCATTTTCTTTACCTATGTTGAGTAGAATTGCTATGCTCTTCTAGGTATTCTTTTTTGAGCTAAATACCTCTAGTTTACCCAATTTTTTTCTTGTTTCTAGATCACAGTGGATTCAAACTGATCTTCCTTCCATCCCCTACCAGTCCATCATACAAACTTCAGCCAGATCCATCTTCCTAATGCAGCAGTTATTACTTGCCAAGTGGGAGGCATTGTGCTACGTACTGGGGAAACATATGTAATAGGATACCAAAATTAGGCTCTTCTATCTCGGTTTTGCTAAGGCAAGAAGACAATAGGTGCTACATTTTGAAAACATGACCATGCAAAAATGTCAAAGTCAGTGGCCAAGAAGACCCTTAAACATCCAGTAATATCCTATACCTATAATATAAAAGAGTTGAGAATGGAAATTGAGATATTTGTGCAAGGACAACATGTGACCTGGCTATGAATGCCATTCCTCCCAAAGGTTGGGGAAGGCTGCTTCCTCTTTCCTCTCAAGTCAAAGAGAAGAGCTTCGGGGGATCATGTGGAGAGCATGAGGTGTGGCACCAGCACCGGTGGGGGCACGGGGGTGGTGTCACAGACTGGTGTCTGACTCTGCCAAGAAACTCTAAAAGATAAAGATGGGCTGGCTAGTTGTTCTGATGGCCAGGGTGAAGGAGCAGTGCTTGCATCGGGCAGCCTGCACGCATAATTTGTGGGGACAAGAACGTGAGGCCATTTCTGATGGAATGGATGTGGATCATGTGGCGATGAGAGCTGGCTTACAGCCATTTTGAGGTCAGCCCAAGGGAACTATATAGAGAGGGGTATAGAGTCTATGCAGACTGGAGGTCTGTATAAAGAGGGTTGCTGGAAAACTGGGGCTGAGGAGGGGTGTCATTCTGAGGAAATTGCATTACTCATCTCACAGGAAATGCTATTGAATGTTACCAGTGGAGCCTCCCAAGAACCCACAAAAAAGCCCAAGAGTAAATCAGCTTTAAAATAGGTCTTGAAATTGTGAAGCCCTGTTAGGATAGTAGTAAAGAAGAACTTTCCTGCTTCCTTTAGCATCACCTTGGCCCCCTTCAGCCACTGAGAGCCCAGAATTCCCAGTTGCCTAGAAGGCTGAGGAGAGGGGCAGCAGTAGGTGAGCAAGAGAGAAGCTGTACCCCTTCTTCTTCCCACTTGCAAAAGGATCTGATGGGAAATGTGATGAGGTTTAACTTGGAATTTTGAGGCTGGGCACTGTGAATTTCACATATAATCTCAGCACTTGGGGAGGTCTAAGCGTGAGGATTGCTTGAGGCTGAGAGTTTGAGACCAGCCTGGGCAACATAGTAAGACCCTGTCTCTACAAAAGTTTTAAAAAATTAGCTGAGCATAGTGGCACACACCTGTAGTCCCAACTACTTGGAAGGCTGAGGCAGGAGGATCACTTGAGCCCAGCATTTGGAAGTTACAGTGAGCTATGATTGTGCCACTGCACTCCAGCCTGGGTGACAGAGCAAGACCCCATCTCTAAAAAAAGAAATTTTGATTGTTACATCGACCTTCACACTCTTAATTATCGAATTAAAACTGTGGGCAGGGAAAGAACTTGCCTCACTTTAAAGACATGCTGGAGACCCGGCCCAGTGGCTCACGCCTATAATCCTAGCACTCTGGGAGGCTGAGGTGGGAGGATCGCTCGAGGTCAGGAGTTCGAGACCAGCCTGAGCAAGAGGGAGACCCTGTCTCAACTAAAAATAGAAACAAATTACTTGGCCAACTAAAAATATATAGAAAAAATTAGCTGGGCATGGTGGTGCATGCCTGTAGTCCCAGTTACTTGGGAGGCCGAGGCAGGAGAATGGCTTGAGCCCAGGAGTTTGAGGTTACTGTGAGCTAGGATGATGCCACAGCACTCTAGCACGGGCAACAGAGTGAGACTCTGTCAAAAGAAGGGAGGGAAGGAAGGAAGGAAGGAAGGAAGGAAGGAAGGAAGGAAGGAAGGAAGGAAGGAAGGAAGGAAGGACATAGTGGAAGTCTAACATCAAGTCTTTTTCTGATTACATTT